CCCAGCCCCGGCGCCCCACCCCAGCCGTGCCCGCTGTCGCTGCGGCACCGAAACAGGACCACCAAAGAATGGACACTATTCAGGAGGACCCAAGCACTGACTCTCACATCGATGAGGACGGGTTTGAGAAGGACCCTTTCCCAAATAGCAGCTCGGCCGCCAAATCTTTTGAGGACTTGACAGACCATCCTGTCATTAGGAGTGAGAAAGCTTCATCCTTCAAACTACAGCGCCAGAACCGGGTGGACAGCAAAGAAACAGAATGCTAGTGTCCTGCCGCCTTCTCAGTGTATGACTCGTGTCTGCAAAATAAGGATCTAAAACCATTTCATATATATAAATATAAATATATGTGTATATATATTTTTGTGAGGGAGTGGGAGAAATAAGGAAGTGACCTACTGCAGATGCTGGTCATGTGTATGACCTTCCTTAAATTACATTTATTAGAGCATTATTATCTTTCAAAAAGGAAAATCCAAACTAAAACTGGCTTGTTTTTGAAGCTTTTTGGATTTGTTTTTCTATTTCTTTGACCTTTAACATTTCCTTCAACCTGTGGTGCAAAACCAAATATCCTGCTGGATATTGGATTGTGTATATCAGCCTTTTTTATAATTTAATATTTTGTAGTCTGACAGCACTGATAGACAAAATTAAGGGGCTTTTAAAACCAAAATGAAAACAGTGCAGTATGTTCCACATAGAGTAGATCATTTAGCAGTTTAAGGTACATGTAAGCAAAAACCTAAACAGATGCCTTGAGAACAGAAAGAGAGTGATGAAACAGATAAAAATAGAGTCTTACAGCATCCCATGAACATGCATAATTGGAATCAAGAAGCTTAAGATATACGTCTTCTAAATGAATAAAAATAAAAGGATCATAGAGAGGCTGTTAAACCTTATGTGATGCATGGAAGTGTTCCTCTAGCATGAAACGCTTCTGCCTCTGGCGGTGAGGTTGTCTTGTCTTCATGGCATAGAAAAGCTTTCCTTGGGAGTTCCCTGCTCTGCACTCAGGGGCCTCCATGTTGCAGGTGGCTGGTAGGAGAAAGAAGTGTAAGGGGAGAAGTCATTTGCGGGGATGAGGACCGTTTTAAGCAGCTGTTCACAGCAGTTGTTTCGGTGCAGAAATGTTTCTCCGAATGTTATTTTGAAATACGTAACAGTATTGTTGAGGTGTTCAAAGAGCTGAGCCTCGGTTTTCTGTGGTCTGTGTGGCCTTTAGAGCTCCTACTGCATAAATAAATGAGGGGGAAAATTCATTCCACTGCGGGGAGGCATTTGTTTAAAACAAATTGTGAATTTAATCAAAAAAGAAAGAAACCTTTGTTCAACTTACAAGGCAAGGATAAGGAGGGGACTTCATGAATTCTAATTCCCACACAGGTAGTAAAATGCAATGTCAGAAGCTGGTAATTGAACGGTGTTGTCTGATACAGCTGGTGAGCTGGGAGTGGCACGGGAGCGTTGTTTGAGCTTTGTAGCAGAGGGACTGACATGGAGTCACAGAGCAACTGTCACGATAGTAAAGCAGCATCCTCATTCTGTATCTCTTTTCTCCCACAATAATCTATTGATAAAACTGACATAAAAGGCGACCAAACCGGTACAACCATTGTAACTGTTACAAGCCTCTGCTCAGCCACATGGGAATCGCAGCTGTGGGTGAGGGAAAGTAACCAAACCTGTGCCGAAAGGATGGGGCGAGTACCTCCCTCCCCTCTCCTCCCCACCAGGGACTGGTGTTACACTAATACTTGAACGTGTGCCTTACGGTATTCCTACCCGACTAGCTCTTGCGTTTTATAGACTGGGGTTTGAACTTCGGGGGGCGGGGGGGAGTTGTTTGGGTTTTCTTGGTTTTGATTCAGTGCAAAGTACATGTGTGTGAGGAGTTAATTTAATTCCCAATAAAACCTTTTTATATTAAAAAAGAAATTAGTTAAACAAGAGCTGTTTCTGTGCAGTCCTTCTGGAAAAGACCTAATTCTTCAGTTGCCAAAGCCTGAGTTAAACTGGCATGCAGCCTGTTATTTCTAAGTGCTCACCTCTGAAACTCGGTTGTCGCAGAGGCCGAACCCTGGGCATGTGGGGTGCAGATCTGCGGGGGAGGGAGTTGGTCTCACCGTGTGTCCTCTGGATGAGGGTCGGGTCTGACTGAAATTCCTAGCCAAGGTGCGGGTGCATCCTCAAATGCTTTTTCAGGTAGCAAATCCGTCAGTACGTGTTTGCAGCACTAAGGTCTTCGCTTCCCAGATGACCACCAGGCGCTTGGGAGCTTGAAACTGGAGATCTGGAGCAGGCCGTGGGCACCATGGAATCCACCCCCCACACCGAGCCATATCCCAGAAGCTGTGAAAGCAGGACTTGCACAGTTTGTTCCCAACGTCTTAACGCAGGAAGAGCCACAGCTGCCACAGGGAGCCCCTTCCGCTGTTTAGCCAGTCTTTACTGGAAGCATGTATTACAGAAAGGACAGCCCAGTTTAATACTCATAAATATTTATAAATCAGACTAGCTCCTGGTCTAGCTCCAGGCACATGAAAAATAACTGCTTCTGCTCCCATTTATAACACAATTAATTACACAGCAGATGACAGGTCCTGGCAAACTTTTAGCTATTTAATGAAGCAAAGGCAGCCTCACGGCACTGACAACACAGGACAGCTTGATGCTCTCTCATCAGTCTCTGTCTTGCTCAGTGCATAACTACATCACTATTGGCCTCATCTGTTTTGTACCAACATACTCCAGCCCAGAATTATACAGGGGTATTTGCAGTGACACATTATTTATTGGTTTTTAATCCATGGTCCAGTAGTATCTTCATTTTTGCTGCTAGCTGACTAGCTAGCCAATTATTTTGCAAACCACTTTTTTTTTTTCCCCCATGTTTGCTGAATTTCATCTAGGTTTCACGCAATTTTTTGCAGTTTGTAAAGGTAGTTCTGTAGTTTGTGTTCTCTTGGCAAAAAACTATACATAGTAGGCAGTACTCACTTGTTACATCAGTTGTTAAATTATGAATACCAAAGCTCACTTGAAAGGTCTCCTTAACTTGATGGCAAACGATGTACAGGGCAGCTCTGGCAGCAGAGATGCAGACCCTTTCTAGTAGTTTCTTCAAGCGTCTCAAAATAGGTAGTATAAAACTGGTGCTGCACGTGCTCAAGAACATGCGCTGCTTTCAAATCTGAGTCTATACGCAAGAGCCAGGCATAAAGAAGCTGCTGCTGGTGCCAAAAGAAGTTAAAACTTGAAAACCCCTGCTCTGAACTACACACTATCAATTGAAAGCCTTGCTAAAGCTCAGATAACTGCTTGTACTGCTGTATTACATCCAAATAAATTAATCTGGACTGACATGAATGGCTCTTGACAAATTCCACGCTACTGCTTCTTAGCAGCTCCCAGGTGTTTAAAGCCAGTAGGTGGTACTAATCAAAGCGTAGTCCCCAAAGCTCAGCTAGGCCAGCAGCTCCTCAGGGCAGCCTCTGTCCCTTGGTCACCGGGCCCCTGAGACATTTTCCTCCAAGCCTTCCAAGGAAAGAGCCGCTCATCCCCACAGATGTTCCAGCTCCCGGCACAAGCAGCGTGCAGACAAACCACCCCACAACACACCCTGCGTGGGCTCATCTTTATTCTCCCACAGCCCGACTGGGACACGGAAGAGCACTGACACAGGGCTCCCCACGACCCCACTCCCCCCTGCGTGCAAAGTCTGCAGGGTGTTGCTGGATACCGGCTGTTTGCGAGGACCCTGGTTTTGTCAGGCTCGGATGCTTCTGCTCCAGGCTGCAGGGGATCTCACAGCAGGCTGGCCTCGGGGTCCGTATGGTCCACGTCACGCCAGTACGGAAGCAGCAAAGGAAGAGCAGACAGTTTTTTTTCCAGGCGTGACCAAAGTTGTGCTGCTAAAAAGCTGTTGCCTTCTGTTGATAAATGAAGACCATCGGACAAATAGGAAGAGAAATCCTACAGGGGAGGATAAAACCATGCATCAATGTATTTGCTAGTTGCAAATAGAAGGTCTTGAGTAATTTTTAAGTAAGCTCTTCAAAGCCAGTATATATACTGGTTTTATTTTTCACCATTTGTATTAAAGTATGAAGAGAATGTTTTGATGACCAAAGTCACTGCTATTCATCAGGGAAAGATCCCAGGATTAAGTGACAATCAAAATACAGAGTCTACTGCACTACTGAACGGTCTGCTGCACCGGAGACACAGGAGCGAGAAAAGATTCGGTGTCCGAACTGGCGTTACCTGCTTATGGGAAAAGTCTGCAGCCTCTCTCACGTGGACAAGTGTGGGTATTTGGTCAGGAGCGCCAGCAAGGTTCCCGTGCCACCTGATCTGACTTTGAAGTCAGCCCAACACTGCGCAGCGGGTCAGACTAGGTGCCTCCATGGGCCCCTTCCAACTGGAACTATTCCATGACTCAAAGCCCAAGGAAAAGGCTATTCACACGGAGCGCACCCAGGGCCCATCTCCTAACCAAATGCAATGGCCAGGTGGTATTAAGCTTTATTTCTCACAGCCCACTATGAAGCATTCTGGATTATTTTCTTCCTTCCCCAAAGTGTAATTTGGATATATTTTCTATCACTTCAGTGATAACGTGGCACTACCGGTTCCTCTATGCTAAATGACGCATTTCACAATTCATGACAGTTTCGAAGTCTTTCTCATGACATCATACCTGATTTTTTTGCATCAGTGTCCAGAGGTCGAGTACATCCGTTCCACAGTCCCTCGCTACCTGAACACAGGCTTGGGCGTATTCCCCGGTGGTGGCGTTGCGGCGATTTAATTTGTCACCTATCAGTCCGAAACAAAGAAAACATTTAGCAATTGTGACTGACAGAGCTTGATTTCAGTCTTCTGTGGTACACATGATGGTATCAGTTTGTTAAAGCAGCAGCTGGAATCAATTACAAACTAAACCCGAAGCACCTCAATTTAAGCAGCTGGAAGCTATAGCTTGTTTAGTCTCTTTCAGGGCACCTTTTGTTTTCTAGGCATTTCAAAACATTTCTCCTGTCAACAGATGTGTAACAGGCAAGAGAGAGGCAACAGCAACAAGCACACAGGGTAAAGCTTATTTCTGTGCGGCTCACAGCCTTCACCTGCTGGCAAGCTTCAGGTGAAACCAGTGCATAGATTTAAAACTCTCCATACACCTGCTACTAGCATGAAGAATGAAGTAAATGTAAATCTATTTACAAGCTCACTTTCCGCTTCCTGGATGACATCTGACATTTAACATCTCCTTATGGTAGTCCCCTCATTGTAACATGCTGGTAAAACTGGGGTACATTTAGGTCCAATGCTTCATTAGCGCTCGTGACTGCTATGTTTGTGCGCGCAGTTACACTGGGAGCTGGACATTCTGTACGTGCTCAGTGCCAGCAACTGTAAGCCCGCAGTTTTGCAGGGACCACAGTGAAACTTTGGGGCAGGATATTATTGCATTATGTTGTTTGGGCTTTTTTTTTTTTAATGGGGCCTATAATGCAATTCATCAATTCCTACTCTACTCCCTCTTTGCATCTGATGATTCCCACTTCTTCACACTGCCACCTCTTTTCTCCCATCGTTTCTTTTCATCATAAAAACATCCTCGGCAGCCTCACTGGTCCTTCCCCACCATGGTACGTTTCCTAACTCTTGCCTTCTTCAACTTTCTTCCTGGTTCCACTCTCCCATAGCCTGAGTGGCCCTTCAGCTCCTTCAGCCTCCAGCACACAGAGCTCCCTTTGTTGCCAAGTTCCCTGTACTGATCACAATCTCACCTCCCCAGGTGAGGTCCTGCCATCCTGTCCCTTTCCCTTTCTATGGCTTCGAATCACAGAATCATTTAGATTGGAAAAGACTTTTAAGATCACCGAGTCCAACCATTAACTTAGCACTGCCAAGCCCACCACTAAACCATGTCCCTAAGCACCACACCTACACGTCTTTTAAACGCCTTCAGGGATGGGGACTCCACCACTTCCCTGGGCAGCCTGTTCCAATGCTCGACAACCCTTTCGGTGAAGAAATTTGTCCTAATATCCAATCTAAACCTCCCCTGGCGCAACGTGAGGCCATTTCCTCTCATCCTATCACTTGTTACTTGGGAGAAGAGACCGACCCCCACCTGGCTACACCCTCCTTTCAGGTTGTGGTACAGCAATCAGGTCTCCCCTCAGCCTCCTCTTCTCCAGACTAAACACCCCCAGCTCCCTCAGCCACTCCCCATCAGACTTGTGCTCCAGGCCCTTCACCACCTTCGTTGCCCTTCTCTGCTTGCTCCAGCACCTCAAGGTCTTTCTTGTAGAGAGGGGCCCAAAACTGAACGCAGGATTCGAGGTAATCTAGCAGAGTTGGTAATTTCTTATTCTCTCTTTGCCTTTTCTTTCATTGTTAGGATTACTGCTCAACTGTTTCAACACACACCTGCTCTCCATGCGCAGCTCTGCAGGAACACGTGCTGGGGCTGTAAGCGAAGAGCAGCAGCCAAAGGTAGCTCAGGGAACATGGGGGTCTCCTGAGGGACCAAGGAGGCACCCTAATGATTTATCCCGACCTGCACATACCCACTCAGTGCAGGAAGGAGGACAGCCAACAGTGGGAAGCAATGAGTTAGGGGGTACTCAGAGGCACCAGATGCATCTGGGTGTGTGGGACTGACCCGAAGGAGCGGCCTGTTGCATTGGTGAGGTCAATGCCTACCACCTACAAAAATTCATGGCTAATGGCAGACCTGTGGTGACTGGAAGAAGGGTAACATCACACTCCTTTTTAAGAAAGGGAAGAAAAAGGACCTGGGGAGGTGTCAACCACTTAGCCTCACCTCAGTGTTGCGAAAGAGAGTAGGGTTACCTCCTCTTGGGATTCATTTCCAAACACATGAAGGATCAGAAGGAACTTCCACACAAATTTAACAAAGCCAGATCGTACTTGACCAACCCAATTGCTCTCTGTGATGACACAATGGCTACGCAGACGACAAAGAACAGCTCTGACTTTAGTAAGGGCTTTGACTCTGTCTCCTACAGCACTCTCATCAGAAGCTGAGTTTCTTTTCGTGCCTCTTCACGCCTGGATGAATGTTCCTGTGAACATCATCATCCTCATGTTTCACATCTCTCCTTTGCTCCGATACCTATCTGACAAAACTAAAAATAAGCAGAACATTTCTCCTGGATACTGGTTGAGAGCAGATGATCTAATATTGCCACTTACTGTGCCCACAATACTTGATTTGTGGTCCACGGTCTGAGATCACCCTGTCTTTTGTTCCAGCCCTAGACAGCAATCTCTTTTAGACAGATGCTGGCAGATTCAACACTGTAAATGCAAGTTTCCCCCCTCCCTACCCCATGAAAAGCATAGCTTTAAGACAAAAATGAAGTAACATTTTAAAAGTGTTACTTGATAGCTAGGAGCCAGTAAGCAGTGTTCACGGTGTGCGCACCTAACAGATCTTCAAAAGGACAATACGGGCGCGTGTTTCGCAAACTATGGCAGTAGCAGCTTCCGTGGGAGCCGGGCGCACGCCCCAGGAAAGGCTGCTCTGTGCCTGACCTGTCCCTTACGCCCTGTCCAAGGACCAACTACTGTGACATGCACAGTACTGGCCACGTCTGATGTTTCATCTGACCTGCTACAGCTACTACTGTCTTACACAATCTGTGAGTATTACTCTAGGACTTTCTCTTCCTTTTCCAAATTAAATACAAAAACTACCCTGCTGGATGAGACTGAAAGTCCATAGAGTCCAAAATCTCTTTTGCACAGTGATCACTGCCACACACCAAAGCCCCATAATGCAAAGTCATGCAGTAACATAGTCTAATTTAATGCAGTTTAAACATGAGGCCATCTTCAAAATGTTACCGCTTTGATTGAGTACACAACTGAGCATACGCAATACCACCTAAATTAGAGAAAACCCTGCAAATACTAAGGTGACAACTCTGTATGTACCTGAATCTAACTCAAAAGTCTTTTATAAATGTGCAAGAACTGGACAAGCTGTCCCAATGGAAAAGAGGACGGGCTCTCAGGAGGTATAAACTGTCGCTGCTGGAGTCAGTGGGATTATGGCAATTTCACCAGCTGAGTAACACAAAGTAAGCAGCACTGTTATGTCTCTATTTTTAGACTTAGCTTGAACAACATAATTAGAAATCATTTAATTACCTTTTGCTTCTTTTTCAGGTACTTTTATTAGCATCCTTAGAATATGATATTCTCTGGGTTTTTTTTTAAATTTAAAATAAACCTGGCTAGGATACCACTGCTTATCCAAATAGATGTGAAATATGCTGTGACTATTATCACATTTTCTAAGGCACACAGTGCCAAAATTTCTTCCATTATTCACGTTATTTTGGAACCTGCCAGCACATGACATAGTCTGCCTAGGACATCTTGGCAAAACCTATGTTCTCAAAGAGCAGCCACTTCTGTCAGTTTTATGCATGAATAGATCAATCAAACTTTTGAAAGGATGTTACTATTTAGTTGGTAGTTACTCCACGAGCTTATCCAAAAGCTTTCAGCGAAACAGCTAGCAGTCCTTTTCCATCAACTCAAAGAACACGACTGCAACCTGGCACAAGCACGAAGCTAATAATCTGCCAGCCTGGGATGAGTAATCCACAGTCTGCTGGTAAAATGCAGAAATTCTGCCCATCTGTATCATTCTTTTACCTTTGGCAAGACACTCCTTTTCCCAAGCCGATTCCTGAAGAGGTGGTGGTGTTATCAAAATAATCCTGTCTTCAGCAATGTCCACTGACTTCAGATACTGTATCATGCTCTTTAAGTTCGCAGCATATTCCTCCAAAGGAACGTGTTGCTTAGGGTTCAGCTCTGTTAGGGGATGGAGCACATACGTTAGCGATGTTAAACTGCTCACAGATTTATTACGCAGCATAAGATCCTTTTTACACAGTATATGAATGTGGGCATTTTCAGTATGCAGTTCACCTCAACCACTGGTTCAGGAGGTGTGGTAGGAAAATGCTGTTCCTCAATATCCAAAGCAGACAGATCAAGAGTTTAAACACACCACTTTCAACTAACACCAATAAGGCACAGAGTTAAAAAATAAAAACAAACCACTTTTTTTTTCCTAAGATGCTTTTTCTTACAACAACAACAAAAAAATCACTTTTTTTCTAAGATGCTTTTTCTTAAAACTCTGTATTTTAGTATATAGATCACGTAATCACCTCAAACCTCACCTGAAACAAAACCTAAGATTTTTAACTCTCTTGGATGCAGAGAAAATTTTGGAAATTCCCATGGATCTACAGCACACTGATGCTACTATTTGATTAGACTAGCTCTGTGTGCTGCTATGCTTACCTTAAGGAGAATCCAAATGCTACCTTCCCTCATTTCCTCAACCCATCTGCCAAGAACTCAGACTGCTTTAAAGGCAGAAAAATCAGCTAGATGCCCAACTCCAGTTTTAGGCTACAGATATACGACTAATTCTTGAGCACCTTGAAATTTACTACTAATATTAAAACTTGGTGAGAGGGAGAGAAACAGAAGGCATTGCATGGTTTAAATACAAACAAAATGATTGAAAACAATCCACTGTAAAAATGAAAAGAGCACAACTGGTTCACAGAGAAGCAGCAGGAGAAGTCTGTGTAATGTTCTGCCTTTTCTGCTAAACTGTAAAACTGTCTTAAGAGAACAGGTCACAGAAAAAAAAAAAAAAAAGGGCAAGATACCGTACCTTTCAAAGCACTGTCATTAGCTCCAAAGAAAATAGTAACCGCAACAGTACTCTCAGCACCGGTACTTTTAGTGATCAGTCTCGGAAGGATCAATTTAGCCCATCTGGTGTTGTACCCTGAGAGCCCACGGTTCACAACATCGCATTTTCTGAAACACAGACACATATCAAAAAGAACATCTCTCCTCTGCCTACCAGAACTAAACTGGGGAAGTGTTGAACCATTCTGTCAGGATACCTGCCTCCATCCCTCTCAGAAATGATGAGATGTCACAGGAGTTTTCAATAGGATTATAACTTTATGGTTTGAAACTGCACGCACAGATTGCATGTGTAGTATTTACCGGTCACTTAAGACTATGAAACCAGAACAACAATCTTGACAATCACTAAGGATTTTTTTGTTTCCACTCAACTTTGAGTGGCAAGAAACACCCAGTATTTCCACCAGTACTGGGCAGGTTACCAGTAAGGTAGTTCCACTTCAATAAATAAATAAATCTTAATAAATACATATACACTAAATATTAACCTGTGCTGGATTCCTTTTAGAAAAGCTGCACAACTTCTTGCATGCTAGAAATTACTTCTGAAATTTAAGCTCTTACCTGACCAGTCTTTCAGCAAGGGATGCCCCCCAGCCATTTTCCTGGAAGGAGAACTGAAAGCCAGGAAAACAATTAGACTCTCACTGGAAAAATTCGCTCCCCAGCAGGTCAGTCCCACCACCCGCACCTTCCCCTTCCCTCCTCAAAAAGCTTTTCGTGCACGGCCTCTGGCACTGCTGCAGCAGTGCCTCCTCCCTCCCAGCCTGCCCTGTCCCTGCACAGGTCAAACAGCCCAGGTCTGACCTAGACACACGACTGGCATCAAGAGGGGAACATGGGACCGTACCTACAGAGGGATGAACCCTGTGGTCCCTTCATAATCAAAACTGACTGCTGTCAGGCTGTAGTTTCACTTTGGCCAGTGAGGCTTTTTTTTTTTTTTTTTAATCTTTTCCTACTTTATTTCCAAGATCCTTTCACTGTACCTTCATTATGGAGAGCACCTCTCAAAAATCCTCTCTCCACATGCTGCTTCCGAGTGCAGTTCGATACCTACCTCTTCTAGTAGTGGAGAAATGAATCCCTTCTCCTTATTCCCACTGCTGCACCATCCTCCCTGTTACAATGCTGCACAGTGAGTCGGTTTAGACAACCGACCTCCCATTAAAGACAACCTTTGTCTTTGGCCAAATCTTTTTTCATCAGAGCAGCTCTATCACCCACTCCGCCATGCCACCCATGTAACTGAAGGCAGGGACCAAAATGAAGACTAAAAAGCTGGTACTGCCTCAAAGGAGATGTTCACCAAGCCATGGTCTGGTCAGGTTGACGCAGAACTTCTCCGGGGTGGGTGAGCTCAACAGAGGGAACTGCACACAAGGGACACACCAGGAGCTGGGACAGGGAGGAGCATGGGGCTCAGGACAGACAACATGCTGGAAAATGCCACCGACATCGAAATACCAGAAGCTACGCTTTTACCAGATCACACTTCTCACATAGAAACTTCATCAATTTCAGCAACAAGGCTCTAAATCTCATAAAAGACTATCAGGTGCGAAAGCTCCTGGAACGCTCTCCTGGGAGTTCCGGCGGGGACACAGCTATACGGGCCGCACTCCCATTT